AATTAAAATTTTTCTCCAATATGTGATAGTAAGGTTTATAAACAAGTAGTTGGAAATAAGGCATGAAAGCAGAGTTTTAGGAAATTTATTCTGGAATGGCTCTGCTGCTTCCTCCTCCTCCCCACTTCCCCACCTCTCTGAGCTGTAATGCTCCATACTTAGCTGTAGGCTTCTAACTCTGTCCCTTGTATTGACACTCTGCGGTGGCTGCTGACTGCTGGATGAGTAAAATGAAGTGAGATCAAATGAAAAGCAGTGGCCATGACCTTCAAGCCAGTTTTTGCATCTATCTACCCATATCTATGTTTCTAGATTACCACTATGTGCCTGTTTATGTAGATATAGATACACACACACACACGTATATGTACACACACTCCATACATATAAATTTGAGGTTCTGATCTGTCTCCATCTGTTTATTTAAGAAGGACCTATCCATTTCTGCTAGCCGAACACTCTCCTAAGCCTTGCTTTAAGATTCACCTTCACTATAAAATTGTTCTGGACTTTTCCCAACCAAATCACGTTTCTCCGAACTTTCATTTTCTCACCTGCAAAATTACACGTAGAGTTGATGGGAGGATTAAGAGAGAATCTGCCTAAAGAAGTGTGGTTTCTTGCAGGGAGTGTGGGAGGGCTGAGAGGGCTCTCTCCAGCAGACATCCATCCCAGGAGCAAAGAACGTCTCCGCTGCCCTCTCTCACTGGGCCATGACACTCTTCTTGGGGATGGTAAGGGCGTGCATATGTTGGGGGTACCTGCAACAGGACTTTTAAATGAAATACATAGGCTAACCATGGAGCAGAAGTTTACGGATGTGGTATATAAGAGGTGTAAGGACAGCACACAATTGGAGATCAGAGATGGGAGCAGGTCAGTCTCTGTGGGGTGGGTGTGAGGGAAGTCTCCTTTGAAGTGGTGACTTTTGCAGAATAGTGGACACCATTTGGGGAGTTCCTGGCAGGTAATGGCTTGGTGGTCTCAGGGCCTGGTTCAGCACTAGGAACAGAGTGGGTGCCCAATACATAGTTGTTGAATGAGTGGTATGATCCGTAAAATACATTTATTATTGTCATTCAACTTCTGATATAAAACTGTTTAAATGAAAAACCCCTGCTTGCCGTTCAAGGAGTATAAATGAATTTTAAAGTGGTGTTTAAAAATAGTGAAGGTTGTTGGATCCAAGGTGCCAGAACTCCAACGTGAAACTGAGTCTCCAGTGGCTTAACAATGTCAAGGTGCCATGGCATCTGGACATAAAGGAGGTCATCTAGATGGTTTGCCTGCAAAATAGGTGGAGAGAAGAGGAAACGTGCAGACCACACATACGGATGTCAGTCACCTGGTGCTGTTCTCTAGGTACTATTGGGGAACATCTGGACATTCCATTTATCATGGGAGGCCATTGTTATCCCAAGTAGAAGTATTCATTATTTAAATTTTATTCACAGTGTCCACGTATCTGGAACCTTTTAAGAGAAAGAAATCAATGTCTAAAGTGTCCATAAATTACTCTATAAACATTTTAATGTCTCTGTTTCTTCTTGCTTCTCTCTGCCTGTTTATACTGTAATATTAATAAATGCAGCATTTTAATGAGCTTTGACTGAATTATCTTCAGAGAGTTGGTGCAGCGTGTTCCTTGGAGACACATAACTGAAGTTCCCAGTTTCTGCAGGGAAGTCTGTTCCTCATTAGCTGGGACAGCTACGAGTGTGCCTGTTCAAGAGAGCGGGAGGCACTGCCCGAGCCCACCTGTGCCTCAGCAGAACCAGGCTGTGTCCCTGCCCTGCTGTGGAGTCACCCCAGGGCTTTCATTAAAAGTGTCAGACGGCTTTCCCGGAGCAAGTGCTGATGGCATGTCATGTTGGTGTCTCTGGAGGAGCAGCACTGACACCTACTAATAGTCTGACAAACCGTTAAGTAGCTGTTTCAGCCTGGGCTGAGGAATCGAGCGTGGTGTACCTGAGCGTGAAGCCATGAGCGTGTGTTCTCTCCATTTTCACGGCTGCTGAAGAGGAGACGTGTGTTCTACACTGGCAGACTCCTCCCCATCCAACCCCAACTCCATCCCCTGCAAAAATGAATCTCCAAAGTAAACCTGTCTTT